TCGAACACTTACAGAAAACAGCATTATTGGGGACTGCAAGAATCTTAAGGAGACATTTAAGCATGTGATTTATATCATAGTCTATTTGTTATAGACCGATATTGTACATATACCAACTTAGTGTTGTGTGATTACATTAACATAATAATAATAATAACCATTATAATGATAATCATAGTAATAGTAACAAAAAATTATTATAATAGCAAACAATATAACAAAGCATCTAAATGCAAATTTTTAATACATAACTATATTACACGAAAGCAAGAGTACTCTTGACGAAAGATATTGTGAAAAATATTTTTAGTTTGTATTGTACTACATTAAGAATATTATTAATTGTGATCGCTTTTACTGCATAGCAGAAAATATTTCTGATTTATAATTTTTGGATATTTAATATCATTTTTAGATGAAGGAAATCAGCTGTGGGATGTTAAGTTGGATCCACTACAGTTATATTATGGCATAAAAAAGGGCTGGAGGACAATTTGTTTTGAAGGTATAAAACTTGAGGTAGCTCATGTTGTGTGTCGGCAGAAAGGATTTATTAATGCTACTTATTTCAATATAAGTGGATTGTAAGTTATTTCATTATTTTAATCAAAATAATGGTACATATCTGTTTTTAGTTCATCAGTGTCTGATCATGTAATCACTCAAGTTTTATGTCCATCAACTTCAAACTACTCTTTATATGGTGAAACCAACATTATGCGTTGTAACATTTCTGATCCTGTTCTGAATGAAACAGAAACATGTACACCTGCAAAAATTGTCTGCAGTGAGTTCTCATGAGAATAAGTGATTTTATGTTTTCATGTACATACTCAATACTCTAATGCATAATGCTGATGGCTAAAAGCATGGCAAGTGATCAAATTTTCTGAACCTTCCTCGATTATAATATCTTGTGGCACCTTAGCCACATTCAAATGGTTACCTATTGTGTATAATATATCTAGATACTAATAGAAGAAAAGATCATCCTTACAAAGGTCAAGTATATCTTGATAAGACAAAGACTGACACACCAACTGATGGTGTAGTTAAAGTATATCTTTACAATGAGTGGTATCCTGTGTGTAGAAATGCAGCCTTCACTAAAACAGTATCTGATTCAATATGTAGACAGTATGGATACACAGGGTCTCAAAATAACTGGGCTTCAGAATCTTCTGGGTATGTTATTAATAATGTTGTATTATTAAATCTTAATTTTGATAGTTCTCCTTCTAAAATGTGTGTTATAGCCACAGAATACACTTGTACTAATGAAACTGGTTCTTTTGAATGTTTTACCCACTGTATGATACCAAACAAATATAAACTTGACAGCTATGAAGAGCATGTGGCATTAATATGCAGTAAGTAAATTTTAAATTCTCCCCGTTATGTTTTATTTCTTAGTAAAATTCATGTTTTACTAGACAAATGTAAAACATTAAAGGGGCGAGCCTACGCAAGCAAAGCAATGTACATACAATAGATGTTGACAGACTAGATACTCATGCATGGATTTTGCATTTTAAGCAGCTCAGAACTTGATGGAGTGTGGTTCTTGATCTGCTTTCAGTTGTCATTAAAGTTAAAGTTTAGCACTTAGGAAATAAATGATATGGCTAGACAGGCAGTTGTAGCAATGTAGTCCAAGTTAGTTCAGGCTGTGACTGACATTCACTTATTCAGAGTCATTCACATGTAAAGAAGATGGTATATCTGCTTTCTTAACCTTCCTTGCTGCATTTGGGCAGTAGTATGATCACAGTAAGTCGAGTTATCAACAAAGACGAGTTTCATAGTTACTTTATTACATCTATAACCTTGTCTGGCTGTTAGAGAAGCCTTTGGACAGAACTTTTGTCTTATTTTGCTGCTAAAAAACTCATGGCACAAGAAGCAGTTATAAGCGCATTTGCCCCCACAGGCCCCTATGTAGCTACGCCACTGGGCAGACATCTCGGGGTTCAGGTCTTACATTACTGATTCACACCTTAAAATCATGCTTTATACCGTATATTGCATGCAAACACATGTTGACAAAAAGTCATTATTAAGGATAATAATTTCAATTTAGGCAAATTTTTTACAGTAAATAGGCCAGCCTCACTTTTCTGCTAACAATGATTCTTTTAATTTTTTAGATGTTTGATATTGCCAGAATACCCTTATATTTATAAAGTTTTAGCCAATTTTGTTGCAAATTCTTGAGCTAGTATTTGTGCTGACTTTTATGTGGGTACCTACATAAAATGTTTGATTTGATAATGTATTGTAGAGAGGTTTTATTTTGTTGGTATAAAATTTCGCAAAAAGAGGTGTGGCACACTAGGAAAAATGGCTGCAGAAGGTAAGATTCGCGAAAATTTATACCAACAAATGGCAAATTTTTGCAATTTTTTGGTAATTGGCAGGTTTTAATTTGGCAATTTTGTAGCCATGTACCATGAAGCATGTACATAATGGTTCGTTAATTTTTTATTTTAGCTAATGGTGACACTAAAACTTCCCCTTCAGCTATCAATTATCCCAGTCATTAAGTACCGGCTTTTATGTAGGTTTTAATGTCACTAAGAAGTATTTGAGAAGTGGATCTCAAGCTCAATGTGCTTTGCCTTTGAATGAGACTAGTCATTTATGTCCAACTTGTAAAAACAAGAGTGCTCATGGTAATGATAAATATTTGTTAATCATATCATGTATAATTCTATTTTTGTAGACAGAATTATTATATGGCTACTCGTTGGTTTTCTGCTTTGTACTATTAGCATCCTAGCATTATTTATCATCACCCTTCTGTTTTGTTATAGAAAAACTATAAAGAGGGAATGCTGTCGCTGCTGCAGAAAAATTGCCAACAAAATGCAAAAAATAAAGGATGATGATGATTCTGAACAAAACGATCGAACACCACTGAATGACTATCAAAATAGGCGGAATAGCTTAAATTAACATTATCCGCTACAATACATTAGTTTAGTGCTAATAGATCTAGAATAGTTTTATTGTACACTTTATGTTTGTATAACAGGTAGCGTGTACAATAATGACGGTGAAAAATTAATGGGCACTGCTTATGACGTCATGCAATAGGCGGGACTGGCGCGTCGGTACGTATACCATAGATATTAGAGTAAATGAAAGGGATAGGAAACTTCCGTTCCCGGGAAATCAAGCTATTTACCCTAGAAAGCGGAGGAATCCGGATACTAGTATACTCTAGCTATTATTTTCCATCGCCACAATGGGCGACTAGCCTGACTAGGCCATAATTCGTCCCTTGTAATAGCAAAAGTATGCTTCACAAAGACAAGATAATAGGCGGAAGACCCAGAATAACTCATCTAGATTCTGTATCTGAAGTCTCTTTAGTCATTACTCGTTCAAGCAGTGAGATAATGGTACCCAACTAAATACGGAAAGTTTACTTGTTTTTGAGCATAAAATGTCGAGAAAACAAGCTTTTGGAATTATTAAAGTTGGAAGACCTAAAGAAAAGAATTCTTTAATAGGGGCTTGTTTTAAATCTTTCATTTATAATATTGCTTTTGAGATAATGGGGACCAA